TAACTCCATTAGGAGAAAAATTTTGAATCAAAGTAACATAGCTTCTGGTCCAAACTGGAAGTTCCTATATAGTTAATCCGTACCTCCTGACCCTAAGCTTTCCATGTCTGGTCTCAACTTTTATCTATCCAACTTCTTTCTCAAGATTTATAAAGGACAGACAAATGGGACAACAATCAGAATTTATAGGTCTACAACTTTTTCAAATTGCAACCCAATAATTTTTCTATAAATGCAATATTTACAAGAACATACTTCCCATGTAGTTTATATTTTTGTAACAGATTGTATAAACACTATTATCACATAAAAGAACATAACAGACATCACAAAGCCCGATGAATATATATAGAAACATCCAATGATTGCCTGAATGATCATGCTACAATTTGGCTAATTAAATAATTAATACAAAGTAATTTGTCACTAGAGGAAGGCATTAGGCACCATCTTTTAATTAAATTAATAATTATAATGTACAGTAATACCCCAAACTTATGCGATAGGTGGATCGAGTGATAACCGCGTAAGTCGGGGTATAATCTCGCATATAAATACATACAAATTATTTTTAATTGGGGCCAGAGACTAAAGAAAACAATAATTTAGAAAAAAATGTTTAATAAAATCTTAGATAATACATATATATAACAAATTATATTATTAAAATTGTAAACCAAAAGTTATTTTGATGTAGAAGGAGGCTTCATAAAATCTAACAAATTCGTCTGACGGCTCAAATATTTTTTCTCCTGCAAAATTTCCTCGTAGCATGCTAATAATTTTTTTATTTCTCGTTTTGTAAAAGAAATGCACTCTTTGTTGGAATCTATATTTTCTAAAATATGTAGCCCCTTTTCAATTGAACTGAGGCGTTCTGTCAAGTTTCCAACCGTCATTTGATCTTCTGATTGAACTGGGTCTAAAGAATCAAGTTCTTCAATGTCTTGCTCATGCATTTCTACAAGCTCATCAATTGCCAGCTCCTGATTGTGGGAATCCAGCAGTTCTTGAACATCATCACTATCCACTTCTAAATTTATTTGCCTGCAAGATCAACAACTTCTTCAAATCACATTACGAATTTCATCAGTCTCTAGCACCGATTTTGCCCAAGTTTCAGTGATAAAAAAAGGAGAGTTTTTTCCAGACACCATTTAAAGTTTTTTGTGAGACTTTATTCCAAGATTGTCCAATGATTCTCACTGCATCTAAAACATTGAATTGTTTCCAAAAGTCTTTATAGAGCTCACTGTTTTGTCTCAGAGCTTCAAGCAGATGTGAAAATCATCATCTCGTGTAATAAGCTTTGAATGTTTTGATGACCACCTGATCCATCGGTTGAAGCAAGCTGGTTGTCAATTATTAGCATCACTTTAAATGGAATTTGTTTAGATTGGCAAAAACCAATCTAAACAAATTCCATTTCAGGTATGAATTGATGACTAAACCAGTCCTCAAAAAGGAAAGTTGTCACCCAAGCTTTATGATTCGACTTCTAAAGCTGGCTTGCCTGTACTTTGAATTTATTTTTCAATGCTCTTGGATTTTCCGAGCAATAAACTAAGAGAGGTTTTAACTTACAATCACCAGCTGCATTCGCACCAACCATCACTGTCAATCGATCTTTGGCGGTCTTAAACCTGGAAAGGTTTCCTCTTCACGTGCGATAAAAGTTCTTTTAGACATTGTCTTCCAGAACAGGCCAATCTCATCTACATTGAATATGGTTTGGCTGGTATAGCTTTGAATTTCTCTGGATAGTAAGATGCTGTCTCTTTATTAACACTTGCTGCCTCTCCACTTTCTGCAATGCTATGCCAATTAAAGCAACTTTTGAATTGCCTGAACCAACCATTACCAGCTTTAAACTCTTCATATTTAGCCACCTCTCCAGCATCCTCTCTTTCAATCTCTCAAAAATCAGCTTAGCTTGAGAGCACACTGTGTTCTGATCAACAGGACAATTTTTCACATTTACTTGATTATCACACCATAATTTTAACATTGTTTCCATCTCAGCGATAATACCGTGACATTTACGAATGATGCTTGAATTTAAAGATTGAACATTTTTCACAGCTTCGAGAATTTTTTCTTTACCTTTTATAATTGTTCTGACCGTCGATTACGGTAGATCAAACTTCTTTGCCAATTCACAAATTTTCATTTTTGTATCAAAGTCTTTAATAATGTTAACTTTACATTCCAAAGATAAAGTTTTTCTTTTCTTGTTTGATGCAGAAGAATTAGTTCTACTACATTTAGATGGCGTAGTAGTCTCTCAAGTCTCCTTAGATATAACAAACAGAAATAAATAACACAAAATAAATTGTAGCTATGCATCGATTCCGTGCGACACACCTGAACATGTAAACTGAACAATAATGTGGGGGGAATGAGTAATCAAGAATTGTTTGGCGCTCAAACAAAAGACGAATCGACAAGATTGAAATTTGCGTAAGTCGAGATATTACTGTAGTTAAGAGATGATGCTAACCACCTAACTATAGCCAAATTACTTTAAACAGTAGAACCTAGTTAAACAAAATCGATCAGGAGGAAAAAAATTCTGACTTTAAGTTAAAAAGTTTTAAGGAATTTGAGATAACCAGTCTGATTTAACATTATACTAGACAACCCAAAGAAAAAACAAAAAAATGTCTGAGTAAACCAGGTTCCACTGTAAATCATTAAATTATCTTTGTTACAACTCCACAAATACTCCAACAGTTTGTTTAACATACCTAATACAACTGGATTGATGTTCATGTATTACTTAATTTAATATTGTATTCATAATAATTAATCAATTCTAAAAATACCTAAAAATATAACTCTTAAATTCTTAGACAATAAGATATTATAAATTCATTTTTATTTCTTGAAAAAAAAAAGTTCTGAATTTAATAATTGGATTATTTTAATCATAACTACAATGTGTCAACTACATAAATTAATACGACTTTCAAAGATTTGACCAAGATCACAGACAATTTATTTACAAATTGAAAGTTGTCAAGTACAAGAAAATGAAAATATAAGAGTGACTTAAAAGAATGTTTAATCTAAAAAAAGGTTTGTATTAAATTATTTGAAAACTATAAACAAACTGGAATTAGAAATTATATCTAGAATTGAGTTGTTGAGTAACAATGTAAATTTTAATTTAACATTGAGTACAAAATGAACATATCACCATTCATTTAAAAATCTACTATTCTCATTCTTTTATAATTCTAGTCAATTTTTCAAATTAGTTAGAGACGCTTATAAATTTTAAGATTAAAACTAATAAATACTATGATACGCTTCTTGTCTAGTCTTCTGAATGGCTTGTGAGCGCTAAGATTGTTCTTACTTTACCGCTAACTGACAACCCTAAATAAAATTATGCAATTTATGTATTGATCAAATCTTTTATACTTAACATTTCCATCTTTTTAGAAAACATTTTTAAGTGAAGGGGAAAAACAAACTCCAGAGAACAACAGGAATTTGGAATTTCCAATTGAAATCCCTTAATTTTTTCTCCATTTTTTTTTTACACAACAACAATATGTCACATTATCTTAAATAAAACATAAAAAATTAAAATCAAATAATGAAAGCAATTCATAATTAGTAAAATATGTATGGAAGAATAAGAATTTAAATTTAAAAGGGTTCAAAAAGTATTAAATGAGTAAATTTTTAAGTTGAAGCTCCATAAAGCAGAAGTAAGGATTTTAAACAATTAGAGCAATGTAGGAAAAAAACTGTTTAGTGGGATTGATTTTGGGTATATTAATTTTTTTGTATTGCTGAAGATGGCTCTCCAAATTTTATCCGCATTTCACTGGATCCATTTTTAGAATGCTTGATTTTTTTTAAAACTAAGTATTATTATTATTTTATATATACCCAAAAAATGAAGTATATTTTATTCAACAGAAAAATATAATCTATATACCATTTGTTCTTCATTACTCCCACAATCTACACTAGTATCGACAAACTCAAACTATTACATAATGATTTCAATTAAAAAATCCAATCACCACAAACTTTTACTAAACATCTCATTTGCAATTCATCATTTATATTAAAATTTCTTGTATACTTAAATATATAAAAATAAATGTATTAATGATGTGGTTTATTTTAAAAAAAAATCAATTGTTAATTTTTTAAAACAAATTTTTATCATTTTTAACCTCGATCAATCATTGTTTATTTTACATCCGTAACTGCATTAATTGGAGACAAAGAACCGATACTAAGACTATTTAAATACTAGTATTTATTGTCTAATCTTGGACTCACTCGTTTATTGTCTGGTACTTCTTAACCATTCGTAAAACGTTTGTTTTATGAATTACAAGATTAGTCAAAATACCGGTATTCGGAATAGAAGAGTTAGTATTTATTGTGCAGTTACAATAAATACTAACATCTAAATACCTCGGTATCTGTTCTTCGTCTCCGATTAATGCGGTTACAAACGTAAAAAAACAACGGTCGATAAACTTTTACAATTTTTAACCTCGAAGTTTTAAGAAATTAACAGTCGATTTTTTCACGTTAAAATTATTCCGACCGGCAACGGTTAAGAAAGCAAACTCGATCGTACCGCGGCACTAACATTTCCGACACGCCCCGTTTCCTTTATGCAAAACTCTTAACGCAACTCGTCTCGAATGCGATTTCCTCCATTTCGATCGACTTGTAACATTTTAAACCAATTTCGTTTTCTCCAGTAACTCGACTTACCACTCGCCGAACGAAATTATTATACGCGGTCGTCACGTTATGAAAAAAAACACCAAATTTAAAATTCTCCAATATTCCAATTATATAAAAAGATTAATCTCACGCTATTTGAATAAAATTGCACAAAAAAAAAAAAAAATATATTAAAATACACATTTAAGTATATTAAAATCAATTAGATTTGTAAATAAAGCAAATACATTTATAAATGAAAGTAAATTTCAATAAGAAGAGAGTGTGTGTCTCACCCTAAAATGACAAGTTCTCCATAAACTGTCCTCCTTTTTAGACTATGTCCAACCTCATTCTGCACGCATCTGTCAAGTATCGATGCACAAGGAGGGGATGGAAGATCCGTGGACGTTGAACAACATTGGTGAACAGATGGGTTATTTCCCAACATGTCTAAACGATGAATGATCATGTCTGTCGCAAACGTTATATATTGATACATTACAATACAAAAATGTTAAGTTTCTTTTTTGTTTGTTTTTTAAATAACTTTTTACAATGATAAAATTAGCACGAAATTTAATAAACTTAAATTACCTTATGTATGCATTCCACGTTATTTTGAAGGTTAATACCTTTCCATGATATTATCATTTGACTTTCATCTGTACAACCTTTTGTTTTGGTCATCTACATTAATTCATCAATGGCTGCCATATTTTATATATATATATATTTTTTTTTAATTTTTTGTTTTGAGAAATAGACGGTAGGGGCGGTAGTATCGAGGAAATTTTCGAAATTATTACGGTATTATTTAAATAAATTCGATTAAATATATATTATATATATTTTTTTTTTACAAATAAATAAAGTTTTAATTAATATTATTTGCGATTTATTTTTTGATCGCTTTTATTTATTTATTTGCCGTTGTCGCTAAGGCACACCGCTTTCGATAACAAAGTCGTAGTAGATACCTGGCGAACTATCCCGTGCTCGAAAATGTGACGTTGTATCTAATTGGCTTCTTTGAATAACCGTAAGTGCTACCGTCCAATGGGATAACATCTTTGCTGCAGAACATTCATTTACCATTACGGCCGGAACGGCCTTCGCTAGTATGTTGAACTAGCCTTCAATACCTAGAGAATCGGAAGTAACGCTTCTTTGGCCGTGTCACGTTTTACCGCAATCAATCAAAGCCCCCGACACTCAAACCAGTCATGCAGTTTTGATTATTTCTGCCAGCTTCGTGTTTGTTTGTATCTTCATTTACGCATCAAAAACTATGCATTTACTTTAATCATATATTTTTATCTTTTAACGTTGTTTTAATTTAATTTCAGATCTTTTTTTTCCTCTAAAAAGAATCAAGGATTTAAGATCGAAACAACAAGATAAGCTGAATGCCCTTGCACTTAAAAGTGCAAGGGCATTCAGCTTATCTTGCATTGAAGCAGATTTAACAAGATCTGTCGACTTCAATGAAGCAAAGCGTTTTCGTGGACAAAAGCGCGAAAGAAGAAATCCTAGAAGATATTTAAGACGTCTTCAAATTCGATGAAAAGATTTTTGTGGGCGTTAACGTTATGCAACTTCATAAGTAGTGTAGTGTAGTTTTGAATAAAAAATATAACGTGATTTAAAAATTATAAAGATTATTTTCGAAACATATAAGCATTTAATACAAAGTATTGCATATTAAATTGAAAATTATAAATCAACTTCGAGAGGTAACGGGACGCAGAATTATAATTTTCAATCCTCCACCCGAACTTAAAGATGTATTCGCGTCAAAAAAGAAAAAGGTGCACGGTCTATACCAAGCTTCCGACAGCCTTTGTTACGCTTTAGTAGTTGATATTGTGTAGGGTACAGGTGGAGAACCTTTTAATTGGAAAGCCACATCCTATTGCAGGAGGAACTCGTAAGGTTGCATATGTATCGTATACGCATTTACTCTACACGGATAAATAATACACATGGCCAAGCGGTTCTCGTTCCCCGAACACTAAGAGTTCGGCCATGGGCCGGGACGGCTGTCCACAGGAATTTTTCCGGGTTTTCTCCGCGTCTATAACGCCCGAATAGGGGCCAATTACCCTTAAAAACACCATCCCGGCAGGCAAATCGCCCAAGTGTTGCGTTACCGTAAATTAACAAACATGAATAATACATGTACAGTAAATTGTACTTAAACAGTTCGTACCTGACCAAAGAACTACCACGTGGAGTTTTCCTGATTTTTCTCGCGTTTCAAACACCTAAATAGATTCCCATAAAAGTCCTTTCCGGAGGCAAATTGCCCATGCGATAACTTGCTTATCACATCAATCCCAAGGACTTTAAACTACAAGGATAGCCAGATCCCGTATATTTGTTAGCGTTGGATCTATGTGACGTCACAGCAAGCCCTCTACTTCAACATGACAGATCTTTCAAATAACAAANAATTTCCTTCTACAACTTCGGTTGTTGTTCGATATACAGTTAAAGTTTTAACAAAGTTCGAGCGAATACATAATTAGCAAAAAAAAAGTTGAAATAAAGTGATTAAAGAAAAATTATTACAAATATCGTAAATAACAGTTCACAAATGCATATATAGAAATATTTTTTAAGGGGGAAATGGCAAGGACTTTAAACTACAAAGATAGCCAGATCCCGTATATTTGTTAGCGTGACCTTGGCTCTATGTGACGTCACAGCAAACCCTCTACTTCAACATGACAGATCTTTCAAATAACAAAATACGATAAAATATTAAATCATTTCTTAATTAATTATTAAATTACTACTAAATGTAAACTACTGTAGAATTTTCGGATTTAATAAGTGTACTGTACGTCAATAAATTTACAAGTCTTTTGTCTAATATTTATTTAACAAATTAATGAGCTATATTTTTTATTATGTGATTATCTTACTTAACTTTTTAATTTTTTTTCGACAATCACCATTTTCAGAAGGCATTCTTTTCAATATTTTATAGTTTTCTTGTTTAAGATTTCTATAATTAATTCTTATTATAGTTCTTAATTTACAAAAATCTTTTATTAAGGTAAAAGGTAAAACTGTTTCTTGTTTTGATATTTCCACTGACAAATTCTGTACAACTCCTGGGCCTTTTTTATACGATTCACCGTGATATATTTCGAAATATTTATTCCATTCTGTAATTTTTGCTAGCCATTCATCAGTAGGTTTAATAAGCCCTCCATAAGATAAACGCTGCACCCATGACAGAATGCTATAGTTGTGATGATTTTTAATTTTACTAGTGGAATTACCCAAGTTTGGGTATTTTTCTTTATATTTATAGGCAAGATATCCTGCTATATACTCGAGAGCATCGTGAGAAGTTTCTTCAGAGATTGTATTAAAGTCTGGATTGCATGTAGAGTTTCCTGAAGATTTATTTGAAGAAAAAGTAGTTTGACATTTAGTATATTGGTCTGTATTTTCACTTGATACTTCTACATGTGCTTTCTCTAAAACTTTGGGTATAATATATTCCTCTTGTCTTCGATCTGCAGTATTTACTTTTGACTCTAAAATAACAGGATTCTTACCTAAAATAATCAATCTAATCTTATATATATCATTTAATGGGCTTGGATGTTCATTAGGACCCCGGCTTCTAATTTGAAAAAAATAAGTTTTCCAGACAATCTTGATTTAAATTGTGAGTGCAGATGTATTTTATATCAAAAGTCGATTTCATATCTTGAAAAAGACCAGTTAGCGATTTCTTTGAGATTATCATTCCTTTCTGGAAAATTTAGAGGCCATTTTTTCACTTGCTCTCATTGTTAAGATTATTTTTATCATTTTATTTAAATGTTCTTTTTGTAATTCCAAGTCTACACCATATCCATTTTTGCTTGGAACAGAACCTTTTGGTGCATAGCTGTTATAAATGTCGAACCACATATTTATATCTCTAATATACGTTTCATTGATAATAATAGTTGACTCATAATAAACGTTTCATTGATATTCACATTCAATTCTTTCCATAAACTTATGTTACTGCAATTACAGTCACTGACGCAAACTACAACATTATACGATAGTAAATAAAGTTCTGCTATTAATTTTAAAAGTATTTCTCTTGTCATTTTTTGATCAAACCCGATGTAAACAGGTTGCTTCCAATTTGAAAAAAGAAGGTTATTATTGCAACCATACA